ATTGGTTACATCATCCAGGCCGATAAGATATCATCCTGGCCGATTAGTTTAAAACTGATTTCAATCATCCTGATCATCGCCCGTAATGGATGTTGGCCGATGTAAATCATCTAGGACATCATCCCGACCGATCTAGTGATCGTCCCGGATGATGTGATCAAATCAATCAGCCTTTAATGCTTTTCTTAATTACCAGATCAATTTAGGCATAATTGAGTTAGATCGTCCTAGACGATGTGGATATCGTCCTGGCCTATTTCCTAAAACAAAGAATACCTTAATTGATCATGAAGGCTAATTCTTTCTTAATTGAACAAATCTTCTTGGCCGATACAAGTATCATCCAGGCCGATCGGCTTAATAACGGCTACCTTACTAAGGATACCCTAATTAGGATTTCTGCTTTTGAACCGATCATCCAGGTCGATATAAATATCATCCCAAATGATGTTACTAAAAACAGTAAACTCTAGGGAACAAATAGAAAATTTTTCAAGTTACAAAGCATCAGGAGCCACACTAAATATAATAGACTCAAGAAAAGAAAAAGGGTACAAACAGACTCAGACCTAGTCTACCCATTCTTGAGCTAGTTCCAAATTACAATCTGATCGTGTGGATCTGAAATGTCAATAGATAAAGCAGTTGTAGAGAAATAAGACTGTTTGCTATCATCAAAATCATAATCCATGAAAACAGATACGTAACAATCTCCCCCTTTTTTATGATGGCAAACATTTCAATTTTGAATTTTCAAAAAGAAAATATTTTTCATAATCTCCCCTCACTAGAATAAAACTTTAAAAATAAGGGAGATAAAAATATTTTTGTTATTTTTAATTTTTTGAAAGGAAAGAAAAGATTCAAATTTGACAACAGTACAAAATTCAAAAAATAGGACGATCTCCCCCTTTGACATTATCTAAAAGAGAAGGGGCACAAACAATAAAAACAAAATGATTAAAAGACAAAAATGATCCCTGGTCTAGTAAACAAAACAAATATTCTTAAAATGAGAAAGTTACCTCTTGGTTTTAATCAAAAAATCAGTAGCATTGTATTGACAACGCATAGCCCAGAAAAGGTTAGAAATTTAGAATTTGATAATCCAAACTCTATTTCTTTTAAAGGCTCAAAAAACTTTCTAATTCAATATCTAAATCATTGAATAGATTAGAGAAAGAAACAATTATTTTCAAAACTCCTTCCAAAAATATATCTAATAGAAGATTAATGCACGAATTATTGAATCAGGAATCAAGATTTTCAAAATCAAGTATCGAAAGTATCAAGGGTTTTCTTAAGCTTTAAGAAGTACAAGAATGGTAAGCATTAAATTTTATGGGCTCATTTTATGCCTCTTGACAATTGGTTGCCGCACTGCGTATCTTTTTTTCTTTTGATACACTTTGTGTATCTTTCTCAATTTGGCGTTATTGCACATCTTTTATTTTTGGCATCATTGACCATTTTTTTTTTAATATTCTACCTTTCTGAAATTTTAAAAATAAAAGCAAAATCCATCCTATTGACAAAGGGAATTTCTTAATTAGGAAAATTATGAGTTAGATTCAACAACTTGCAAAAGATTCCTATGCGATATATAAAATGTAGAGAGATAAAAAATATTAGTTTCAAAAACTAATTTTAAAATATGAAAAAGATTTTAAATCAAAACTAGAATAATCATTTTTAGGAAACAGAGATTTGAGAGTAAAAAACATGAGTTTTCTTCCTTTGATTGTTTTTAGAGAAGTCAATCACAATTTTCATAAGAAATTAAATAAAAAAGGAGGTAGATTTTCATTTTTAGAAAGGTGAACGTGTGTGTTGATCAGAGAAAACACATAAAAAATTTAACGAAAAAAAAGAAAAGAAAAAATAAATAAATAAAAACAAAAAAATCATAAAAATAAAAGAACAAACAAAACATGCAAACATAAAAACTACACACAAAATAATTTAAGCATCATCTTGCTCCTAATCAGATGATTCAGAAGCAAGATCTGCCCAAGAAATTTTTTGCTTTTCATTTTTTCCCCAGCTTATAATTAGCTTTGCTTTATCCTTTTCTCTTGCAAGAAGAATTCTTAAATTAGGGCACTATTTTTTCATATGTCCAAGCTTCCTACATCCAAAGCAAACAACGTCAGAAGAAATATTAACATTCTTACCATTTTTACATTTATTCAACTTTTGTTGATGCTTATGCTTTGGTGAGCTTTTTAACTTGCTTGTCAAATCATTACTTTCATCACCAACTAAGCTACCTTTCTCTGTATCTTCAGCTTTTACAACTATTATTTCACCTGCATCCAACAGTCTTTGACCCAAACTTTGCTCGTAGGTAATGAGTGAGCCAATCAAATTATCAATAGAATATTCATTCAAATCTTTTGATTCACAAATTACAACAATTTTAGCATCAAACTTATCAAGTAAATAACGAAAAATTTTATTGACTTTTTCAAAGTTTGAATAACTCTTTTCCTAAAGCATGTAATGACGTAACAATTTGAATAAATATAGTATACATGTCTAAGATTGTCTCATAAGGTTTCATGCAAAACAGTTCATAATCATGCATTAAAATATTCAACTTGGATTGCTTGATTTCACTAGTGCCTTCGTATATGTCGTGTAATTTATCCCAAATTTCCTTACCAGTAGTACACGTGGATACTAACATAAAATCTTCAGAATTTAAAGCACAGAAAAAGCAATTTAAAGATTTTGCATTCAATTGAGCATTGATTTATTCTTCCCTATTCCATTGATTAAAAGAAATATTAGTTTTAACTCCATCTAAAATCCCTGACGGTAATGAACAACCAGTTAAAATCATATGCCACATACAAAAATTAATTGATTACAAGAAAGTAGACATGCGAATTTTCCAAAAATCAAATGTAATATCTTCAAATAAAGGTGGTCTGGTGATTGAATAACCTTCCACATTATTACGATTAGAAAAATTAGACATGGATCAAAAATTCAAAAGCTTTCAAAAACTTGTTTTTATGAATCCCGTTCTGATACCACTTCAAAGTTCATTAGGGATGTTAGGCCCTTATGAACTGGCCCAAGGCTAACCATAAAGGGGTGAATCGATATTTTAAAATAAATCATTCGATCAAAAACATAAACCAAGATTCACCACAGACAAAACATAATGCGGAAATTAAATGCAAAAATAATAAAGGGAAGAACTCACCAAATTTATAGTGGTTCAGTCAAACTCTGACCTACATCCACTCCTTGGAGGCACCCTCCAAGTATTGTACTAAACTAAGTGTCTCTCCTTTAGCCCCCACAGTTAGGCGGAGAAGCCCTTACAAAATCACTTCCACCTTCCACGGTACGGCGGAGTCGCCGGGTCCTTTGACACCAAAGAGATCTCTTCTTTGGTGGACTTCTCTCAAGACAAGCCTTGAATCCGACGTTATTACACTACAAGAAAATAGGTAATTAGCGACCAACAAAATTGGTCGCTAAAAATGTTAATTTGGACGCTAAAGCAAATAGCGACAAAAAATATTTGGGTCGCTGATTTGTCGCAGTAGCCTCGTAGCTAAAATTGGACATATTAGCGACCATTTTTTTGGACGCTAATGAATATTTATTTGGATGCTATTTAATAATTTTAATAATTAATATTATTTATTATATTTTTCCTATAGCGACCAAAATAAAAATTAGTCACAAAATGATCAACCAAAAAAATCACATGCCATTTTAATTTCATTAAGTGTTGATATATATTTATGGATATAAAATTTGTGATATTTAGTAAATAAAATTATTATCCATTTATTATGCATTGGCTATAACAATTAAAATCAATCCATCACTCCTTGATATTGCTATTAATTAAATAAATTACATAATAAAGAAATAATACAAATTTTATTAGCTTAAGGCAATAATAATAAAAAGCTTAAATAAAAAAAATTATATTTATTCATGAGTATCATTGTTAAGAATTCGCTAGAAGAAAATAAAATTTGTATTCATTCATATACTTTTACAAATACATGCATCAATTAATACAAAAAATATAATCTCAGACATCATTAATCATAAAATCTTAATATTTACAAAATGATAACATCTAATTAACATAAAAATCTTTTATTAACTTTTATGTAAATAAATATAAAATTACAAAATTATTATTTCTTCCCTCATAAACTATATCAAAAATAAATGACAACATCAATCTATAATCATGCTAACGCCAATCAATATCTTGTACTGCTAAAGTGTGGGATCCAGCTCCATATCCATCAAAACACATTTCGAATGCAAAGAGCTTCAACTTGGAGTACAAGCAGGCAACCCCTACATAAAAAATTTATAAACAAGATTACCATAATATTTCAATAATTATGAGATAATTCAGGGAAAAAATGTACGAAACTTGCCTACTGCTTGACAACATGATGCAAGAATTCAAAAACCAATTGAGTTCTCAAGGAAGCGAGTTCATCTCCTCCTTTATAGCTGCAACTCCAGAAGAGACCGAGTTAATGAATAAGAAAATGAACAAATATGATTTTGATGTGGTCAAATGGATAAAGAGATGGAAATTAAGTCTGGCCTGTTTGCTTACCGGCTCCTTGATGGTCCAATGAGATGAAATGACGGAAGGCTAGAATCATTGGCTCTTCACTGTAATCTTCCCTTCCCTGCATCGACCAGAAGCTAGAATCCTTTGCATAGCTATGGCAAAGAGCTGTTTAGATTGGCAAAGCCAAAAGTATAAAAACTAAATTGACATCCATCAAACTCTTTAAAGAAAGGTAAGGCAACCATTTGTGAAAAAAAGGCATGGAATTATTGATTGACACACCAAAAAATTTAATAAGAATCTAAATGGAATACCCAAACCAGTGAACCGGGTAATGATGAAAACTTGGGAGGGCCATAGATCGAGCAGTCATTTTCAAGCCATGAAGGTCTTTTATTGAATTGTATGGTATCAAATGGAGCAGATTTAAAATCAACTCGTCCACACTACATTGCTTTTATGGTGAAAAAAGCAATATGAGGTCCCAAATACAGAACAAATGTATGCAAGCCAGACCCTATTATAGCATATTAAAAAAGAAAAGCTGGTCGGCAGTTTGGAAATTTCAACAACAGAGAACTTGTATGGTTTTTATTTTATTCAAATTAAACAAGTGAATGCTCAAATTAACCTAGATCTACAAGTTAAAGTTAACAACAGCGAAAAAGACAAGTTTTCAGATCATAAAAGCCTTAAAAGAGTCTATGTCAATCTGCTTAATCAAAATCCAACAAGACAACATTTGTAAATACACTTCCTTCTCTAAGTTCCAGCCAGCATAAGAAAGATCCCAAATAAAAATTTAGCACAGTAAAAAATTCAGCAGCTTGACATAAAGTGTAAGGATGAGGTTCCAAACATAGGAACATGAGTGCAAAGAACAACTGAACGCAAGACAAACAAAATCATAGTTGCTTGGATAAGTCATGTATTCGATATTAGTTACATTACATCTGTAAATTAAATTTGATAGAGCAAAAACGTGAATACTACCCGACTATAGCAGCTGGAAATGAAAAATCTGAGTTTTAAGTATGGATATATAAAACAAGTAGAGGAAGGAAAAAGTGGAGCAGATCCATGGTGGATGCAAAGGTTAACCGCTGTTCAAAAGATGGATACTGATCCTTAACAGCATCTCATCAACTTCAGTTGTATCAGGCTATCAGCAACATTCACAATCAATCTTTTAGCAAGCTGCATTTGCTTATCAGAATCCACAACAACCAAAGTTGAATGCTAAATAAGTCTAAGCATCAAGATTTCCCGTTTCAATAACTGTAGATGAATAACAATTGATGAGATTCATAATAAACATTCTGTGAATTATCTTTTTCCAAATCAAATAAAAAATATCTATTATCTAATGCATGTGTGACATATTAAGATATTCAATAATATCAAGAATAAAAGAATTGACACAGTTGAATGAAACCATGATCAATCTCCTATTCAGTTAAATAATTCAGAGACAAAAAACTTCATAATTTATATTTACGCAGAAAAAAAATCAACTTTAGGCTTTCTTTTTAAAGAGATTCAACGCTTCAAATGATAAGCAATACAAATATAACAAAACATGTAATGTTTATGGATTCCCTAATGAAGATTAAATCTACTTAAAGCAAAATCGGTGCTAAAATTAAGCATGTGAAATTCATGAGGAAGCCAACAAACAAGCAACTACATATCAATTAAGACGAATCATAGAAAAATTAGTAAAATCTGAGTGAATTAGTGATAATTTCTTTAAACGACAAGCAATATCAGGTGAACATCAATTAGATTTGCTAAATTGAGAATAACTGGGCAAGCTAAAAATGAATTAGATGAGTATGGCAAAATAAAAAGAAAAATTGAGTAAAGAATCTACAACTATTTTGGTTGAAATGAAAGAAGTTTTTAAGGAAAAATATCTGCCATTGTCATATCATGATAGATTGCTTGATAAATGTAATGCCCTAAAGCAAAAAAGAAAAACTATCATGAAAAATATGAACAAATTTGAGGAATTAATGTTCTGTACTGAAATCATTCAAGATTTGAAAATTGAAATTTTCATGGTTAGATTTCGATTATGACTTTTGACAAAATAAAGAGAAAAACTCATTCCATTCCCTCATTTGAGCATACTTTCAAACATGGTTTAAAATTGCGCAATATGAGGCTCGCCTTGAGGCCCGCCTTTGCGCAATTTCAGTAAAAAATGCCTCGATGCTTACGCCTCGAGTTTTTTTTTATGAGGCTTGCGCCTCAACTTGGTGAGGCCCGCCTTGAGGCCCCTCCTCGCCTCACTAGCATGGCTTACGCCTTACGCTATATATATTAAAACTTACATAAATCTTGAAGAAAATGCCCGACATTGGACTCTATAGGAGAGGAGGAAGGGGAGAGAGCAGTTCACCATAATGATGATTCAAATGAAGAACCCCTTAGTGATGACAGTGTTGATGACTTATGAGTTCTTATGTGATATTTCATTGCTATTTATTTTTGGAAATTGGAATTATATGTTAATGAAAAGAATATTGGGAGTTGGGAAATATAGAATTTTGAGTTGATTTATATTTCATGTTGTCTTATTATTGAGATATTTTGATTTCACTTCATATCTTATGCTTTTTTATATTTTATATTATTCACTCATTAGTATATAAAAATTTTATCATTTTATGTTTACGCAATCTTTTGATTTTGAGGCTTACGCCTCAAAACGCCTTGAGGCTTACGCCTCGCCTCACGAATGAAAAACGCCTTAATACCCGAATACGCAATTTTAAACTTTGCTTTCAAACATGCCTTATAGTTTGAACATTTGTTGAAATCTCCTACAGCTAGGTGGTTTACTACATATCAAAAGCATAGTCTAAGTTTCCAACCTATTTCAAGCATGATGATAGAATTTGCAAGCTTATCATAGATAACTTGAATTGAATAAAAATTTAAACTTAAACCAGCATTATGATATTCAAAAAAAAAAAAAAAAAAACAACCACAAATTCATTGAATGCTGAAGCTGAGTCTAACAGTGCAACCAAACTCACCAAGTCCAATTGATGACGCAACCCCAAGTGTAACCCACCAAAATGCATATCTGAAATAATTACGGAATTCCTGAACATGTTGCACAAGTGTCAGATCTAATGTTGTTAAGAAATGCATAAAGCTACCGGAAGATAAGTTAGCTTGAAATAGCCATAAAAAGTTCATTCCAAGTTCAAATACCACCTTAGCAATCACGGAAGTTTTCACAAATTACATGCTTGAAAGTTTTTTTATTTCAGCTGAACTTAAATAGCCATAAAAAGTTCACTCTCTTCATGAGCTTCCTTCTATAAATTTAAGAATCAATGAACTAAAAAATTAAAAATAAAAAATAAAATCAATTTAAGTTTGATTTATACTATTAGCTTTATCATAATAAAACTTTTTAATTGCTTCATTAACTGTAGTAGGCATGATTTGTTCACTTTAACATTTAGAAACAAAACCAATTTCGATTACTAATTTAGTTTTACAAGAATAGATTTAGTATCTATTAGATGATTTGATTCATAATTAAGAATATATTTAGATTCTAAATTATTCTAATTACAAGTTAGCTCTCTTTATGAATCAAAAAAAGAACCTGCTATCACATATTTACTGCCTCAAGCAGCAACTCAACCGACAATAATGAATGAAGAATGAAATTCACAACCCCAACTAGTTGAAATAAATCTAAAAATGATAATAATGACGATAGATCAGGCAATGAAACCCTTCCATTATATGAAATATCAAATACAAAACTCAAGGTTCAGGCTCTACATGACAGCCAAACTCCGATACAATCTAAATTATCAACTGAAATAAATATCTTCTTTGAGAATTGCATGAATAACTTAGTAAATTTTACAGTTCAACCATGATACAATGAATATAACCTAGGCCACAATTTTTTTCCCTTCCAACCATTGACAATGAAAGGAAAAATAAAACAACATCTCAATCTATGGGAAGAATTTTCATGTGATCCTTGTAACCAGCAAAAATTGTAATAGACTTGCAATGTCCACATTGAGCAAGTTTCAAATTGAACACAAAGTAATGTTAACTAAACAATCATTGAAAACCATAAATCATATTATGATACAAATTCCAAAGTAATACTTTGCTAAAGAATTTATGCATACTGTCGTTATACCAAACTAACATGACAAAGATGATGAAATGTTCAAGTATAGCAAACAAGAGGAGTAAAAATAGGGAAAATAAATCCACCTCCGGTGCATCCTTTTTAGAAAAAACATTCAAATTATTTTGTATACAACTCTAACCAAAAGTTCTTATTAAACAAAACGTGAAAATCAAAACAAGGACTGAGTAAAAAAGAAAAAAATACTAAATGCAAAATAGTAAGTGGACTGTGAAAATCAACACATAAACAACCACTGGATCTTTTGCTCTCAACCATTCAAAATCAACCCTAACCACTTAGAGCACTTATAGAAATCAATAGTGTTGAATGATAGGATAAAAATGCGAGGAAATCATAGTATAAAAAATATCATAGAAATTTTGAAATGAAATGTGTAAGAATGGTATTAAGGATAACCTGAGAGGGAGAAGCCGACAGAGGCGAGTTTGCGGGATGTTCTGAAGAATTGTGAGGGAAGAAACTCATATCAACACGCGAGAGAGGCCGTTGCTGCTTCGTCGATTGCAGTTGGAGGACGTCGCTAAAGAGGTAGGGCACGGGAATGGCGAAACTGAGAGTTGGATGTCGTCGGCTCGTCTAGGGCACGGGAATAGCGAAAGTGAGAGCAGGCGTGCGTGAGAATGAGATTAGGATTTTCCGATTTTGAGTTTTTTTAATGTATAGTTTTATTTAAATAATTAATTGTTAAAATTTAGATAATATATATTATAATTTATTTCATCAATAAATTATTTAATTTATCATCATAAAAATATAAATATTAATTTCAATTCATAGCTTTATTTATTAATTTGAATTTCAAAACAATCTTACAATAAAAATTTGTTCTGAGGGCGCTGCCCCCGGAAACCCCCGCAAGGGCGCTGCCCCTTGACCCAACGACTTGACCAAATAGGGGCGCTACCCCGTCAAGGGGCGCTACCCACTTGGACCCCCGACATATCTACGAAACGTACGACGGTCAAGGATCTGAACAAATAAGAGTCGAGCCAAATTTAAGAAAACTCCAACATATATTTTGTAAAAATTGAATGATTAATCAATTACATCATTTTGATTTTTTATTACAAACAAATCATCCATACTTTAAACTAAATTTACTTTAAGAATAATTATCATTATATAAAATGTTAATAATATTTTAAAAATGTGTTATGTATACAATTAATTAAAAAGAATAATTAGTCACTAAAATGACATGTATATTTGTGAAAAACAAATCTCTAAACTTTCAGTGACAAAATTAGCAGCCAATTTTCCTTTTTGGTGGCTAATATCTAGATTCCTTATTATTTAGAGGCCACACTTACTTTTGGTCGCTAAAAGATATCTTTAGCGACCAAATTTTTTTTGTCTCTAAATTTTTGGTCGCTATTGACTCTTTTTCTTGTAGTAAGGTGCAAGCCTGCCGGAGCAACCGTGTGGAATCCCCCTCCACACTCCCTTGAGTTCCCCCTCAAAAGATCTTCTCCCTCTCTCAGACTTCACCTGTTCCTCACTCCCTTTCAAGCTCTCTCTTCAAGTTCCCCTAAAAGAATGAAGCTACAATGGCTGCCAAAGACACTTACCAAGTGTCATGTCATAGCTTAAATAGAAGATCTCAAAATGAGCTTATTAATGCAAGTTGCCGACTTTATCATCCATAATGATAGGCATATCGTCTTGGCCGATCAGTACAAATTAAGCTCAATCAGCCAGGGATGATTCGGAACGATAAGAAAAAAATTGGTTACATCATCCAGGTCGATAAGATATCATCTTGGCCAATTAGTTTAAAACCGATTTCAATCATCCTGATCATCGCCCGGAATAGATGCTGGCAGATGTAAATCGTCCAGGACATCATCCCGACCGATCCTGCGATCGTCCCGGATGATGTGATCGAATCAATCAGCCTTTAATGCTTTTCTTAATTACCAGATCAATTTAGGTATAATTGAGTTAGATCATCCTGGACGATGTGGATATTGTCCTGGCCGATTCCTAAAATAAAGAATACCTTAATTGATCCTAACGACTGATTCTTTCTTAATTGAACATATCGTCCTGGCCGATACAAGCATCGTCTAGGCCGATCGGCTTAATGATAGCTGCCTTAATGAGGATGCCCTAATTAGGGTTTTCGCTTTTGAACCGATCATCCAGGTCAATATAAATATCATCCTGGACAATGTTACCAAAAATAGTAAACTCTAGGGAACAAACAGAAAATCTTCTAAGTTACAAAGCATCAGGAGCCACACTAAATATAATAGACTCAAGAAAGGAAAAAGGGTACAAATAGACTCAGACCTAGTCTACCAAATCTTGAGCTGGTTCCAAATTGCTGTCTGATCGTGTGGACCTGAAATGTCAGTATATAAGACAATCGTAGAGAAATAAGAGTATTAACTATCATCAAAATCATAATCCATGAAATCAGATCCGTAACACAATTATTAACTAATGAATACCATGGGACGCGGTATCCACTAGACCACGTCAGCATGGTCTTAAAGCCATCGGATCCTCCGTCGTTCGAAATGGGGGGCTGAGATCTTGCAGAAAAAAACACGGACGGCGGGCTCAAAATGGCAGGCGGACGGAACCTTGGTTAAACCAGATCTATACCATTGATTGATGAGATCAACGGTCCAGAATCGGTGCAGACGAGAAAACAACCGAACCGAAACCCTAGGGGATATTTTTGATTTTTCTCTTGATAGGGTGCATCAAATCAAACACAATTTTAAACCTAAGATCTAGGTGTGAATAGCATTCATGGGGATGTGTTTTTGTGTTCTAAAACTCACTGTATGAAAAGCTAATTAGATCTAAGTGCCCTAACCTAGGGTTAGCGATATACCTCAATCCGCATGGTGGGTTCAGTCATTCTTGGGCTCGTTGAACTTGTAAAAGGTCCACGAACAAATTCCTAGTTGACGTCGAGCTCCAATACGCCTTCGATCGACAGGAAATCTCCTTAGAAGCTTTGAGAGCTCGGGTTCACCGGGATCTTGCTGCCGACGAGGTTTCAACATCGGGATTTGGTCGGGGAAGCAAGTAGAAGGTGAGGGGAACTCTCTCTTCAAAAATCTCAGGCTGAGGGGACTTGGAGAGAGAGAAAGAGGTCAAAAATTCCTTATTGAACCCTAAAAACATATATTTATATATCTAGGGTTGGAACCAACGGCCCTGATCGAAGCCTTGGTCAATTGGGAGGGAAAATATAGGGAAATAGTCGTGGTTTGGATTTTAAATCCAAAAAGAGGAGTTAAAGGCATTAAATGTCTCTTAAATAGGATTTAATAGGTTCTAATGACCTATTAAGGGCTTGGTTTGACTAAGTCAGCATTTGACTTGGTCAAACCAGTTAAATAGATCAATGGGGGATCAGGATCAAGCCATGCAATGGGTTTAAATAGATTTGATTTGAATTAGGCTCAAATTGATCTAATGGGTCAACCTAGGTTGACCTGGTCAACCAGGTTGACCCAGGGCACAAGACTGGGTCCAGTAGGTTGGGTCTGACCTACTGAGTACAAGGGTGAAGAGAAATGGGCTCGAGGAGCCCTGAATTGGATTTGAAATTGAATGGAAGAGTTTAGGTCCATTTGGGTCAACCCTGGTTGACTTGGTCAACTAGGTTGACTCAGGTCCTGGGTCTGGGCTTAGCAGACATGACTTGACTCCCTGAACCCATTGGGATGGGTCCTGGGGTCTAGCCTGGTCAAATTTGACCAGATCAACTCTTTGACCTGGTTTGGGAGAAAAAGTAGGTCAACAACTGGGTTTAATAAATGACGAGGGGGATGTTTGTGTTGGGTTGATGTTGTTGCAAACCTATTTTCATGACCTGTATTTTAATGATTGACAAACACTATTGATTCTCTTAGACTACTTGTTTCTTCTAACTTTTCAGGAATCGAAGATCGGACGAACAAACGAAGCCAGTTCAGGATTGCGTAGGTTTAGGGTTGAGTCAGTCTGTACTTTTGTTTTTCACTTCTTGAGTCTACTTGTAATGACCAAAGAGACTGATGCTAAGTAACCCTACACACACACACACACACTTGAGATACTTAGAATTTCTGTTTTTACACATATCGGCCAGGACGATTTTTATATCGTTCTGGACGATCAGACTTAAAACAGAAAGTCTAAATAAGGATTCTTAATTAAGGCAGCCGTCATTAACATATCGGCCTGGACGATACGTGTATCAGCCAGGATGATAAGCTCAAAACAGAAAGAAGTTGCTGCCATAGACAATTAAGGTATACTGTATTTTTAAATTATCGGCCAGGACGATCTTCGATCGGCCTGGATGATATTCACAAATTATGCCTTAATTGTTCAGGAAATTAAGGGAGTAATTAAGGATGATTGATACGATCATATCGTCCTGGACGATATCAGGATCGGCCAGGACGATCTATTCAAAAACCTTGGTTATTTCAGGACGATCAATATC